GCAATATGTAGGATTTAAAAATTCTTCATATGATAGAATAAATATTTTTTTCCATTTCTAATACTTGCCTTATTTTATGTTACACTTAAATACGGCTGAAGTTAATTTTGGTGTAAGGAGTGAGGTAGGGCTTCAAGTTTTCTTTTTCCTTCCAAATTGCTAGCCAGTTATCTCAAAACCATTTAATGATAGGATGTAATTTAAAAATGTGCCTGTGCCCAAAAGGCTATTAAAAAGTAAATACTATTACAATCTTGGAAAAAGTCATGGCATGATTTTCTGTTTGCAGTTGGTTTTATTCCAATTAAGAAGCATTCAAGGCTTAATGGAGACTTGTGAAAAAAAAACAAAAAACAAACACAGACTCAGGAACTAGTAAGAGACACTCAGATAGGGGCGCCTGGGTGGCTCAGTTGGTTAAACCGCTGCCTTCAGCTCAGGTCATGATCCCAGGGTCCTGGGATTGAGCCCCACATTGGGCTCCCTGCTCATGCAGGAAGCCTGCTTCTCCCTCTGCCTGCCGCTCCCCCTGCTTGTGCTCTCTCCCTCTCTCTCTCTCGTTATCTCTCTCTGTGTGTCAAATAAATAAATAAAATCTTTAAAAAAAAAAAAGAGAGAGACAGATACCTACAAAAAATTTAAATGGAGGAGCTGAATCGAAGCTGCTAAGAAGAATAAAATGATTTGTGTCAGAATTGCAGATATAATAAAAATATTTTGAGGTGTATACAGAAGGAAGGGTATTTACTTTCACACGATCTGTAACACTGCCTGGTTTCTTTTCCTTTCTTTTCTTTTCTTTCTTTTTACAGTTTTATTGATTTATTTTTTAAGATTTAAATTCAGTTATAATTAACGTATGTATTATTTGTTTCAGGGGTACAGGTCTGTGATTCATCAGTCTTATATAATACCCAGTGCTCATTACAACACATACCCTCCCCAGTGGCTGCCTGGTTTCTTAAGCAGCTGCAAACCTCTGGAGTCCTTGCTATGTGAGTCAGATCAGTCACGGCCACAAATCTTGTGACAGGCAGCCAGACACAATCCTAGCTGATCCAGGACTTTTTTTCTGTGTGCTTCTCTGTCTCCACTTTTTACTTTATATTTTCATTTAGCTTGGATTACCTTTTAAATTTTAAAACTGTTACTAGAAATAAAGAGTATTTTGAATGTTGGACAGCTGAAGAAAAAAATGACAGTAATCAAGACAGTAAAGAGCTTAGTGGAAATATAATGATTTGAGAAATGCAATTTAATTTGCATAACAACAGTCATTTTATTATCAAGATGTTAAGCACTTGAACAGTCTACACTTTATTTTCATAACAAAGAGACGAATAACCAGTAAAAGAGATGATTTTAGGAATTTATTATTTTTTTAAAAAAGCAACTTCCAGAGTTTGTCATTGTGCAGGGTTAGCCCAGTCTCCTATAGCATGGTACAGTGATAACTGATTTTTTATAACATTGACTCACTGAAGATCCGTAACTGTCTTCTGAATTATCGCAGAAAGAAGAAAGGACTAGAAAAAGAGTTTAATGTTAAGTGTATTTAAAAAATCATATTCTAATTCTTTTAAATTGGTTATCCAAGTATGATAATATAGTAGAGCTCAGATAACTAGAAAAGGCAATTGACTAGAATACCCCATTCCCATCTGGTGTGCATTAACAGGCTTTTTACTGCATATATCTTTATATAGTTCGCAAGCTAATTCAACCCATTTTACACAGCATTAATTGTTTTTATTGAGTTGGCATTGGGCTGAAACTTGCTCACTATGTCATAATTATTATTCTCTTTTCTAGTTCTTTGGTGGATTTTTCTCATCTGACAGTGTTTGGACTCCAAGTGTTTATGAGACATCAAAATCCTCTCGGCCCATTTTAGTGATATTTACAATGAGGTGACCCATGGCCAGATATCCAAGTCTATTAATGAATTTGCCCACCTGCTCTGTTCTTGATCTTGGTCAAAGAGAGAACTTTTACAGTCTCGCTGGAGTATGTGCAAAGCTCCAGGCCAGAAACTGTTTGTGAGCTGGTCTTCGATGGAGAGGACCGCGGAACTCAACGTTCTTATTAATGCTGTGCAAACAGGGGTCTCGTCATTTTGGTAACTATTTGTACATTTTGAAAAGCAATACAGTCTTGGGAAAAACCAACAAGCACAGCTTGGTAGAATAACCTGCCATGAAATATCATTGGCTTTATAATAATTTACTACAACCGTTCTTTTTATTCACACTGGATAGGAAATGCTTCCATCTAACACATGAAATACGAATATATACAACAAAAAGTTGGCTTTTATTAAAAAAAAAAAAACTTCACAAGGACAATAACATGGGGGTTGAAAAAATAATTTTGTGCAGTTTCCTGATCACAATCATATGTCTGCTGCCTTTTACAGGGAATGATACAAGTACCGATAGATTTTATAAACCAGTCAAAGAATTTTGTCTGGACTAGCCTACTATTGCCTTATTCGTATAGTCTAGAAGTTTCACCTTCTCAACTATAATTCTAAATGACTAGGGATGACATGATGAGTCCCTTTTAAGGACAAACCCTGCTAATCCTCTTGGAAATCAGCATGTATTTGCAGTTCCCTATTCATCCGAAAGTTCACCAAGACATCGTGGAAACTGCACAGGGCTTCTCACTGATGTGCTGTTGAGATCCCGAATGGTGCCCGCCATCTTGTACAACGTCTGCATCTTGGCTTGAACTTTCTTATGGCCCCAGTGAGTCAGGCGGCAGTGGTGTGGGGTGGACTGTTCTGTACTGCCAGCAGTCAAAACAGTTGCCATGGGCTCAACGTCTCTATGCTGTGAGCCCGGGGAACCCATTCTCCTATGGAATGGTTTGCTGGAGTCCAGCAATGTCACTGCAGGCGGCTGAGACATTGCGGCCCCTGCTTCATGAGGGACTATACTAAAGAAGAAGCCTCATGTTGTAAGAACAGACAATACAGGCCAGGTTGAGGGGGTGGCAAAGGGAGGTTGCTTTCAAAAGTCCTGGAAACCATCTCTGATTTTACCTCTATGAGAAGGCTGGGCGTTTGGAAGTGGCAGGCTGGGAGAAGGGCTGGGTCTGAGGTACACTTAGAGACATGTCAGTTTGGCGTTGGCACTGCAGATTTAGTGCCTGTGGTCCCCCACTAAGGCACTCTGCTGAGACCTATGTTCCCCTGACTGTACCTTTTATGCCCAAGGATTCCCCATTCCTCCATCAATTCCTGTTTGTTTCTGCTTTCTGAAGTGGGGATGGAAAATAGAGCTTATCTCTCTTTCAAATTTTGACTGAGGAATGGTGGCTCTTTGAAGTTGTGATGTGAGGATTGTGAAGAAATTGTTGGGCTCCTGGGATAGTGCTGTGATTGATGAGCAATGTCTGCCATGGCTACAAGAATTGGTGTTGACGGAATGTCTGTGTTCTAAGTAAGGTACAAGAATCAGGCTGGCTTGATGGGTTCTTGAAGGATCTTTGGAGACCATAACTCAAAGCACTAAGGTTATATTTATTTTGTATTCTGCTTTGTTCCAGAAAAAATTTAAGACTTTGAGCAGTTTGGGAGAGGAATTTTAAGACCTGTGGAAAGCTGGAGGGGAAGATAATTTTGAATAGGGTGGTGCAGGAGGCCCTCTGTTTTCATGCAGGATGATGAAGCCCAATGTTTAGAAAGTGATGATAGGGCTTACTGATGACAACAGATTCAGAAAGACTTGGAGGAATGGGGTGGATCCCAGGCCTGGTGGGAGTTTCAGGCAGAACATCTAGTATATTCCTCCTGGGTTGACAGCTTATATTTATGAGTATGTTGAAAAGCCAAGGAGAAATACATTTGCATCTACACATACATGGCTTTTTTTGTGGTTAATTAAAGAACCTGGAGATGGTTTCCATATTATGTTAGGACCATTGTCCCTCAACTCTACCTAGAAATCTCCAGTATACAACTTTACCAAGAAAGAAAGAAAGATAAAAAAACCAGTGAAATTGTATGGTAGGTGCTAGTGATTCCATTTTCAGAAGATCAACTCATGTTTGTCTCTGAAAAATGGGATCAGTCACTCCTTTATACTTCTTAAGTGATTTAAACTGAAGCCTAATCTTGATTTTTAACACGAATCATTAACAGGTTGCTTTTCAACAGTGCCATTGTCTGTTGATTAGTGGACCATGTCGGGCCAAAGCCAGCCACCTCTAGCTGCTGGTGGCCTCGGGGTTTTAGAAACTGTCTGATGCTCTCATCAGTACTCGCCAGTCAACGCACACACCTGATTTCACTTACACAGCAACATGGCAACATACCTTTTTCCATCTGTAAACACCTGCTCTCTTCTTACTTGGAAACTGGGAGAATTTGAAAGGAAAATAAGGCATATGTTTTTACTCCTTTGCAAATCCCAGGTGAACATGCTTTTGGATACCTGTCTGATGTTGAGTTTCTTGCCACAATGGGGACCCCAAGCTTTTCCCAAAGTTGTAGGCAAAGGGTTTTCACCTTCTTGGGTGAGGATTCCTTGGTTCCTAGGCCAAGGGTCCAGGGCCAAGTGATGGATATGGAGTGGAGGAGGGAAGGCAACATTTAGAAACCCAGCAATGTTATTTCTCATCCATCCGACTCTGCGTTTCACCCTCAGAGAAATGATTTTCTTATTGGTCTCCATGAGACACAATCCCATTTAAGAGCATCTCAGCAGTTTCACTGTCTCTGGAACCTTCTAGAGGTGATGGCTGGCTATAATTGTGACTGTAGGTGCCTCATCATTTGTTTTCAGGCATTTCAAAATTTCTGTTTCTTTCTGCTGATCACAATTGTTGTTGTATTGGCATTACAAACCAATTTTTAAGGTGTGTGAAGGTCAGTGGGCTTTATCACCACTCATTTCCAAAGCAGAAGCCTCCCCTAACTGGAAAGACTTATTCTAACACCACAGAGGAGCCTTCTCCCCAAAGTTTCTAAGAGCCCAGAGCACGAACTTTGGGTTCTAGACAGAAGGCCTAGGAGGAGGTCGGGAGGGGGGTGGTGCCCTGTTGGGAGGTGGAGCTTGAGGAGGAGGGGGAAGGGTGGAAGGTGGAGACGGAATTGGAGGGGTGGGAGCACTGGGGGGTGGGGGAGGGCAATGAGGAGCAGGGGGCGGGGGGGTGTAAATGGGGGCAGGAGGCGGTGAGGTGGTGTGGTAGGCGTTGTTGAGGGGGTACTTGGCGGGCTGATTGTTCTTGACTCTGGTGAAGTTGATACAGCGCCCCTGTAAGAGAATCAGAGAGAAGGAAATGTGAGCTGATGTTGGCTGTTTACAGCAGGGCAGGTGGGAGGCCCGGTGGGCAGCTTGAAAGAGATATATAGGAAGCAGACATGATGTTTATGACAGTGCTCTCCTGGCAAACGGTAGAACTTGACAACAAATAAACTCCCCATTTCCTTTTTTCTGGGCTTACCGTGTTGTAAAATGATTTGTTAAAATTCATTTTCCTGGAGGCTCTTTCTCAAAAAGGAGGGAGAGGAGGGGACTGACCTTAACTGGATGTGTGGGGTCAAGCTGTCTACAGAGGTCATCAAATTTCATCTCAACAGCCTCACCAGCCAGGAACTGTTATCAAATGTTCTATTTCATAGATAGGGAAACTGAGCCTCAAAAACATTAAATCTCTTTCCCAAGGCCACACACCCGTAAGAGGTGGGGTTGGTGATTCAAATCCCAAATAGGCTCCAGAACTTCTATTCTTCCTGCTACACTCTAGTGTCTTCTAAAGGCGGCGGGGGCGGGGGGGGGGCTCCAAATTTTTTAAACAAACGGAACTTGTTTCAACTGATTTCAGTGATACTCCTGGAGGCAGGAGCAGGTTAACACCATGAGCTTCTCCTGTACTGTAATTCGAGCTGAGTCCGTCTGTGATCTGCATTGTCACGAATGTGGCAAACCGGTGTGATTCTCATAGGCACTCATGAGGCTGCCTCTCCCCATCAACTTTTGCCCCCTTCAGCCACTGGCGCTGAGTAGTGACTTAAGGAGGGAGCTCCCCCTCCTGCTGTGAAAAGATACCAGTCGATACAGCCCCCCTCCACACCCCTGCCTTCCCCGAAGCTCTGTCAGGAACAATTTATCCTGCCCTTGCTCTGGTTGGGGCAGTCCTGCTTCTTCCAGATGCTGCTGCCCCTGCTCAGGCACACTTAGGTTCTTAAGAAAATACAACTTGGGGACATTTTATTGCAAAGCAGACATCTACCCTGAATCTACCAGACATTTCCCCCCCCATCCTTCCTGGGGACCTGACTGGACAATGCAGAGCAGATACCTAGAGCCCCTACAGCAGCCTCTAGAAAGTCCAGAATCTGCAGCCCACCCTACGTAGCCCTCTCTCCTTTGTGGTGTCACCTCTCAGCTCTTCAGAGTCAGTCCTGCCGGCCCTGCCCCCTCAACAGATGACATTTTCCTTCTGGTGCCTGTGCTCTCACTTTTGGCATCAGACCCTCCTGCCTTGCCTGGGCAGGGTGTGGACCACCCTTGTGGGGTCCTAGCCTCCCTCCAGACTTCCCGAGCCTGCAGGGCACCTTGTTGTCCCCTCTACTGTGTGTCCTGGATGCCTGCAGAATTTCCCCCCAAAGAGGCAGGGTGGGGGGCCATGCCTTTGAGGCTGCCCTGTCCCTTTCCCCCTCTCCTGCTCATCTTAGCCTGATACAGCGCTACACCAGGGCTGGAGCTGGTGTGTGGGTTTTTCCCAGCTTCACCCTCCAGGATGGACGCCCATCCTATGGCATCTGCTCTGGCTGGGGATATGTCCAGAGAGGCCGGAATTTCCCTTTTCAGGTCTTTGGAGGAAGGGGCCGAGGGAGAATGAAGAGGGCGAGTCTGTGGAATTTAAGGCACAATCACCTGTAAGAGATACAAGTGTGTGATTTGAGATGTGGCTCAGGCCGAAAGTCATAGCAGGGACACCATGCACGTTTGTGGGAGACAGTGGGGGCTGAGCCCACCTTGCCTCACATGCACACACCCCACTCATCCGAGTCCTAATTCGGTCCCTTCCCTCCACACATCTTTCCCTGATGACTTCAGCCTCCATGTATCCTTTGCTTCCGTCCCTGAGTTCTCTAGTTACAGCCAATGCCACACAAAGAAGCCTACAAACTATAGTCTGTAGTTGTTTGATTGGTGAATGCCTCGCCTCCCTGACCAGATGAGAAACTTCTGGAAGGCAGCAGCCTTGTTTTGCACTCTGCTGCTCCCCTATTGGTTTAGGAATTACAATGCTATATTTAGATGCCAGCACCCTATTCCTCTGAGCGTGCTTTTCATGAGATTAAAGCAGGGCCTAACCTTGTTAGGTTCTGACTGGGGGCCCACTAACTGCAGAAATAAGTTCCTATCTTCTCATGGCATTGCCCAGAACTCCCAGATCAATGCAAAGCTTTCACAGGTTAGGCTGACTTTGTAACCCGGTGCTGTAAGTTCCCAGTTGTCCAAGCAGCCCTCTTTTTTTTTTTTTTTTTAATATTTTATTTATTTATTTGAGAGAGAGAGAGAGGGAGGGAGAGAGAGAAGGAGCAGGGGGAGGGGCAGGGGGAGGGCAGAGGGAGAGGGAGAAGCAAGACGCCCCTCTGAGCGGGAGCCTGATGCGGGGCTTGATCCCAGAACTCTGGGATCATGACCGGAGCTGAAGGCAGATACTTAACCGACTGAGCCACCCAGACGCCCCCTAAGCAGCCTTCTTTTACAGCTGTTAAAAAGAGAGAGACAACAGGCCTAAAATGGAGTCACCTGTGCTAATGCCCATGTCAGCAAATCAAGACTCAATACCTAACCTAATTTCAAACTTTCCCAGAAAAGTAATCTTAAACCTGTCAATCTGGAATTTCCTGGTCAGCATTAGTGAGGTAATCTGCCTGATAGGCCCCTTCCAACCCCAAAGAAAGATGAGGTAATCCACTCTTTCCTGTCCCTGCCCCCTTCTGCTTATAAAAGTCTCCCATTTTGTACAGCTCCTCGGAGCTCCTTTCTATTTGCTAGATGGGATGCAGCCTGATTCATGAATTATTGAATAAAGCCAATAAGATCTTTAAATTTTATTCAGTTGAATTTTGTTTTTTAACACAGCTTTATAAATCTAAGCCTTGGGAATAGTTTATTTATAATTCTGGATAAAACTCCTTCAAGAATGTTAAAGTCCTAATGAGTACCATCTGTGATAAATTCCTTTAATGGACAACTCAGAGTTGGGATTTACTGTACTACATATTCTGCCCTTTGTTCCTAGATATGCCAAGTCAGACAAAGAGACTCAAAAGATTCATTTCCTCTGAAGATGAAGGAGAATTCTGGACCTGAAGATGGAGCTGCTGGTGCCTGGGGTCAAGCCCCATATGGCTTCAGATTTCCCTGAGGGCTGGCCATCCCACGGCTCCCTCCCTGGGTGGGTGGTGGTGGTGGGGCTACAGCAGAGAGAGGAGGCATGCTAATTCACATACTTAATGCTAATATTTTTACCAGAGGCTATCTTGTCCAGAGACAAAGTCAGGAGCTCCCAGCCTTCTTCTACTAATACATCTATTCATAACCCAGATTAGGATCCCCAGATGTCTTCAAGAAATGATCCACAGAATAAAAGATGTTCTCTCACATCTATCTGTCAGCTGTGGAGGTGGGGGTTGTGAGTGAGGTGGGAGAAAGACCTCCTTAGGTCAGTCCCTCCAGCTGCCGTCATGGCCTCTTGGCCAAAGCCACAGAAGGATGGGGTGGGGTGGGGAGGGAGAGAGGCAAGAAGCCCCTTTCCTGTGGTCAGTAATAGTCCAGGGGTACACTCATGGGTCTCCTACTCCAGAGCACTAGGCTATGGTTCACTAGATACCCCAGCCCACTGGAGCTGAGCACAACAGCCCAGAGCTCTTAGTGAGCAGCCAAGATGGGGTGGGGAGCCAGCTCACAGTCTCCTCCATGTCCCCACTGCGTGACATGGGGTAGGGATAATAATACCGCCCGCCACTTAGAGTCATTAGGAGGATTAACTTAATCAATGTTGATGAAGGCCTTGGAACAGTGCCTGCCACATGGAGTTTGTAAATGAAATTGAGTCGAGGTGGAGAAACAGATGCTCAGACACAATAATGACCTTGTCCAGGGTAGGAAGGCCAGTGGGAGGGAGTATCAGGTTTTCTGACTCCTAGTTTAGTGCCTTCTAAGTGAGCTGCAGACTAGAGCCTCCACACTCCACACCTGGCTTCCATAACAAAGCTGGTATAGAGGGGAGAAATGTAGCACTGAACATGTGACCAGAGCTGTCCGCAGAGCCCCCTGTCTTATGCACTCTCTCTAACTTCCTGTGGCATGCAACTCCTGTAACCAATTCTTATAGGACCTCCTACCATGCTTTGCACACACAGTTGACTCATGATGCATCTACACATATTTATCATCCTGAAGAAAGGTGCAGACTTGGCATAAACAAATCCCTGGGGTCAGTTACAGTAAGATGCAATTAGGACTTCAGGGAGGGGTGTGGCTACAAATTAAGTTCTTAAAACCTGGAACCAGAAGAGCCAACACAAACACTGTAACACTTAGACCATATAATTGGCCTGAAGATCAGTTTACACGACATCATTTTTGGCTTGTGAGAGGATAATAGAAAGGCCAGATGTTCTCAGTGTCATATATGCCAGCAAATCTGCACCAGTGTTTGCTTAAAAGGTTGCTAGGACAACCGAGCTCTCAGTTCGTACCCTGGTCTTTGTAACGCAGTGAAATTCTTTGCAGGATTGTTTTTGGGAGGTTTGATTTGGATCCAACATTTGGCTTTGACCTCAGTTTACCTCGGCTTGCTCATTTACAAAGTATGAGTGCCAATTATTTTCACATATTAGCAACAAAATACTCCGGTTAAATTCTAAGAAGAAAATGCAACAGTATCTCCTGCTAAGTGGTGGCTTAGCAGGATGCTAGGTGGCTTTTCTCCTAGTCTGGAAAGCGCCATTTTGATTTGACTGAATCTAATGGTGTTGAGAGGATTATTAGAAATATCTAGGCACATCATTTTTACTCATTATTTTCACTGTACAGAAATGAGACTGAGGACTTAGGCTTATTTAAATATGGCGCCCAAGATGACAGAGCAGCAAATGGTAGAAGTGGGATTAAAACCAGCTCTGCTGGCCTTAGGCACTTACCCTCTTTCCCTCTATTATCCTGAATATAGACTAAAAATGCAAATATTTTCTTGAATCACTTGTAGATGGTATCACACAATGTAGCTC